AATGCTTTACCGATAAAAGTCTTCGGCACCTCAGCGATAAATCTGAGGATTTATAACGCCAAAAATCGGGTTTCGACACTCGTGATGTGCGCGCGCAGATATCCCAATATGTAGCTTCGTTCTTGATAACAACAAATCAGATAAACTACCAATAAAAACAAGAGATTTTCTGCCTCTTGCTATTTAACTGTCTTTAATGGATGTAATCAGTTTACTTTCTGATTTATTCCTCTGTAAAGTTTACCCACGCCCTACTTTTTACACTCTTCCTAGAGTAGTACTTTTAAAGTAAACATTTCAAATTATATAATGCTGTTCATATCAGTATATGATTTAATCAGACATATATCTTATTACTCCGCATCAGAATGATGTAGCTGAGACTAGAAATGTAAATGGTTAATTTTCCCTTCATGGCTCGAGTGTTCTTGAATATTAAATATCTTTGTCCATTATAATTATTGTGATCCCCGGGGGGGATAGCGATAATGTTACGGACATACAACGCTAAAATCCGGGGATGGACACAGCAGATAGCTCAATGTGTCTTTGCTCTAAAACAAACAATAATTAATGCAATATTAAAAACATACATGTTCTTGTGACAAAAAAAATAATAATAATAAAATTAATAAAATGAGGCATCTTCATTTTATTCTCCTGAAGAGGGTGGAATTATTTCCACCGAAACATGTAGAGTTTCTTCTTAAACTTTACAAATCAATTATTGTGCAAGTAAAAAACGTTGATGTCTCGTTATTTAAAACAATAATTATTGCATACATAAAATTTAACAGAGAGATGCAAGCTCAACATCTGTATAGATTTATACATGGAAATCAAATCCAATTGTCTGTTCTTCTAAGAACACAATTCCTTACCAGCTTCGATCTATGCTTTACAACAAACGATACATTTTTAAAATGATCAACAGAAGAGAATGGTAAGAGCTTTTCCAATTATATGAAGTGCACCAAGAATAATAAATCCTTAATCTTTAAGGTAAAGAAAAATGACTCGACCAAAAATCGCTTTAACGTTACAGCAGGACTCTAAAGAGAGTCTCACTTAACCATTAGAATGTTTTTAGTTGCGTTTGGTACTTTCTAGACAGCCCCTAATTGTATTTGAGGATCTTCACGTAATTACTGGACAAAACAACTTGTGTCTGGCGTATTTGTAAACTTTTTTGCCTTTACATCTTTCCAGACTACTCCCTTTATTCCAATCTGTTTCCTAATTAAAATTTGTATTAGATCACAGACTTTACGTCTCATTTCAAAATATACTTAGAACTTTCAACTTTTCATTTAAAAAGCATACAAACTTGCAAGAAGAGCTTAGCACAAAAAAAAAAAAACTTCTCTTCCGTTTGCACGGAAGTGTGTACCGTCAGTGAATCTTTCTGAAATATTTGGTTTAACCAAACTTTGCACGGAAGTGTTTATCACCAGTGAATTTTTCTGAAATATTTGGTTTATCCAAACTTTGTACGGAAGTGTTTATCAATCAGTGAATTTTTCTGAAATATTTGGTTTAATCAAACTTTGCACAGAAGTGTGTACCGTCAGTGAATCTTTCTGAAATATTTGGTTTAACCAAACTTTGCACGGAAGTATTTATCATCAGTGAATTTTTCTGAAATATTTGGTTTAACCAAACTCTATGTTAAAATAATGATTTTGATTCCCTCTTCTTAAATCGTAATTAGTCTTCAAAGAGCACGAACAACATAATTTTAAGGAAAATTTCACAAATTGCAATGGAAACTTTTATGAACGACATTTGCCTGTCAGGTAGAAGATGGTGTTTTGAGCTGCTAGAACATGTTTTGATTGGTCTTATTTAGAGCAGTCTCATAAACTTTAACCTAAACATGAACTTTACAAAGTATTTGTTAAACTGAGCGTGGAAAAATAAATACTAAAGCAAATAATATATTAAAAGTATTATACTTTTTTCCTCCCAATGGCAGGTCTGAAGGCTTACAACCCTAAAACCCGATTTTCGATACTCGTGATGAGCGCAGCACAGATAGCTCATTTTATAGCTTTGTGCTTAATAACGAACAAACAAAATGAATATAAATTTATTAATAAATATATACGTGTGTTTTTGTGTACTTGAACAAACAGTAACTTGGAATGAAGCTGTATTCCAAATACTTTTTAAGACTCAACCAAAACAGCTTAGTATGTTTTATATTACTGAATAAAATACAATCGATACGTGTATGTTTTATATTACTGAATAAAATACAATCGATAC